CCCGTTCACTTCTCCCTGTATCAAACATACTTATATCCCCCCTCTCCACCACACCCAGGCCCTGCTGCTTTTGAAGCTACATTCCTGAACCTCAACCATTCTTGCGCCTCCCCTACCTAGACATGACAACTGCCAACCCCAGGAGCTACGGGCATCTGTGCCTTAGCTTTTCTTTGAATAGTTGCCTCGTGATTCCCACTTGTGGACTTTGGCTTGAAGTGTTAGTCTTCCACAAGGACAGGCCATGTAGCCTGGGAAGAAAACCATGGATGTGTTTTATCATTATTGCCTTGCTTCTCTGGGTTACAGAGAAGCAATAGCCTCCATTCAGGATTGTGTTCAAAGAAGAGATGTCAAGACTGAGTTGTTTTCTGGTAAAGGAGGGATGGATAAAATATTAAATTCAATCTTCTGCACTTGCCCTTGTCTTTGTATTTCCCAGCTAGACTCTCACAGCATATCTCTCCAGTTCTTTTACATTTTTAAAACTTGATGCTTTTTTCAGATTTAGGGAAATGTGCAAATTTTAATCGGTTAACTATTGTAAACCTGAGAACTTAAAATACATCCCTTATCTTCCATGTGTAAATTAGACAGTTCTGGTAGTAGCATACTTTTTGAGAGCAGTTAAAACTATTTTTAATGTCCTGCTGGTGATAATACTGTAATTTAATGCATAGAGGCATTTTGACTCTGTGTGAGTGATAGTGGGTGTCATTTTGGATTAATGTCAATGAAAAATTCTGGGTTTTGTATATTTTGACACATCCACATTGTATAGCGGCAGCAGTGCGGAGGTGGTGAAGGCAGCATCGTGGAGCCAGTGCTGGGGGGAACCTGCTTTTAAGCCTGCTCCCCCCAGTACTGGCTCCTGCCCTCTCCATCTTGCTGCCTCTGATACAGAGGTAGCAAAGGGGGCAGAATGCGAGTAGTCTACAAGATTAAATAAGCCAAGGTTTATTGTTAATCATATAGTCAACTACTTGTTTACATCCCTAATTTGAACAGTATTTTATTTCCATCATTTTTATTTTACTTTTCTTGACGTGTCTGTTTTCTTATAGAAGACAATCATAAAAGCAGCAGACAAGCAGAGAAATGTGCCCTAAATTCTGCATTAAATGAGAAAATGCCAGAGTACCAGAGTTACACTTTTCTGCCATTTCTCTCTCTCTCTCTCTCTTTCTCTCTCTCTCTCTCTCTCTTAAGACTGTTTCAAATTATACTGGCTCAGACAGTTTGACAAGCCAACAGTATAATGAAAAAAACTAGATAAACACATGGCCATCTGCCCTGTTGTACTTCTGGGGTCTGAGCGAAAGGCCATGGAAGTCAAGAGAAAGATTCCTATTGACTTCAGTGCCTCAATCTCTACCAAGAACATGGCATCATCTCTTGACTGTTTGCTTCCACATTTGATTTCCTGAACCTCTCTTTCTTGTTCTACTCTATGCACCACTGACTGCAAAATAAAGTCACTCAATCCACTTCGAGTGTCATTTTGCTGTCTACGCATAGACAAAGCACAAAGAAAATGGGTGGATCCTAATGAAGGAGATACCAACTGTTTTGTGCTATCGTCTTATTCTTTGAGATTTGCAACCTGCAAAGTGAGTGTAAGCCCTGCATAGTCTACAACCTGCCTTCTAAAAGTCCCTCTTGCATTTAAAACAGTAGTTCATTACTTTAAAAAAAAGTTATGATATATACATTGAAGTGGGCATAATGCTATGATAACTTAGATATGGTAGGCTATGAAATAAAGGATGTAAACAATTTCCAGCCATTTATTTTTTATTAGAGCTTTTATCTTTGTGACTCCTTTATTAGTTGCTATGGATACAGGCAACACAGAGGCTTGCTAATGAAAAATCTATCACACTGATAAATATGTGGTGTATTTTTTGGTCAGATCCGTATTACTTCAATCCTACTATGCTTGACAATTAGTTTTAACAGTGTTGACATTCTTTTAGATAATTAAAAAAGCAGTAGCAATTAATAGTGTATGTTTTTGCCATATGGAGCATTGAAGAATAATTTTAAATACAATGCGATACCAAACAGAAATTGGTATAATTCTATATTAGGGATTGTGTTAACTGGTACAAAGTGTGCTGTCAATTTAAATGCACTCTTTGTTTTCTAAAATTGTTCATAAAAATCCACATTGTAAAGCCAAATTATAAAATGGTATTGGCTAGCTGAGTGTCTTACAATATTGGAGCTATTATGAAAACACACAAACTTCGCTTTCCTGTTACAAATATCACATTTACTATACCAGTCATGAAATATGATCATCTTTCCACCAAAAAAATTAGTATTTCAGAAAATAAATGTAACAACTTATAAATATGATTTATTTCATATTCATTACAGCCACTTTGGCCAGCGAATAGACATTATTTGTTTGCTACAGTGGTTTTCAAACTATTAAAAAAACAGAATTTGCCTGCCTTGTCTTTATTGAAAGAAAGCTTTCTCTGAAGACAATATTTGAGAAAATTATTTAGTTTTATTCTATTATTATTTTGTAGTTGCTTGCAATGTATGACATGTTATGATAATATAAAAGTACTGTCAGCATGATTTTGGAATAGTTTCATTTCCTCATGTGTGTGCCATGGTTCCAGCATTAATTGTGCAAGACCTCAAGCCAATGTTATGAATAGGATGGGAAAAGGAAGTTCAACTTTTGCAGTGAAAAGAAAAACAGTTCTCAGGTAAATTTAAACAAAGTTGGATTTTTGGAGTTCTGAAATAATGACAATGGTTTGGGTAGAAACTAGTGGTCAGAGTGCAGGTGAGAGGCCATCTCAAAGTACATGATACGTGCATTTCTTCATGTGGTTCTGCAATTTATCACATAGATATTGCGGTAATATATGTGGTATCAGTAAAAAGAGATGCTCACTATACTTCTCTCCAGTGCTTTTTTTGTTTATATATATATATATAAAAAGTACCAGTACTCCAGGGGAAAAGTTGTTGAGCTCTGACTGGAGATGTTGGTACTGCATCTGGAGGTGCCAGTACTGTGTACCGGGGAAGTACTGTCACAATAAAAGGCCTGCTGCTCTCTGTTAAAAATGCAGAGTGCTGCATGAAACATCTAGAGTAAATGGCCTGTCCATTGGGTGTGGATGAACAACTGTTTCAGTTGCCCCAAACATCCCCGTTTGTGGTAGAGTTTAGCTGGTGAATCATTGACTTCTCTGTCCCATTCTCAAGATATGACTCCACACACAGATGTTATCTTCTATAATGGACTGTGGTTGTAGGTATCTCCACTGCCCATCCCCCATTTTGCATGTAGCATCCACATTTGTTCAGCTACATTCAGGCTACAGCTACACTGTAGCCTTCTTCCGGAAAAGCTTATGTAAATGAAGCGTGGCGTGGACTATTGCCGTGCTTCATTTGCATAATTAGCAGCCGCTTTTGCGCAAAAACCCTCTCTTACGCACGAGCTGTTCTTCCGGAAGTAGGCTATAGTGTTGCTATAGCCTCAGAGTCTTGCATTCATGGAGCTGAGGAACAGGATTTGACTCATTCATAGTAGTTTAATAATTGGACAGAGGAGAAATAACTAATGAGTGTTATAGTCATGACAGTTTGACACTCTCAGGATGAAGAAAAAGGCAGTGAAAGAATCAGCCTCTGTCTGCCCTATTGATAAAGTACTATATTTCTCCTCTTATTCTTCAGGACTACACTTGCATATAAGTAAATGTTTATAATGTGCTTCAATAAAGATCCTTGAATATTAAACAAACAAAAAACAAACCCTAGGAACATTTTTAAGAATGAATGAATGATGGTATGTTTTGGGTTTTGATGCATTCTAGAATTCTTTTAAAACATTCTAGAAGTTTTTCAACATAATTTAGATATTTCAAGGTATTATTTCCTGTTAATATTTTTCTTTGATAAAAATCGCATGGAAGCAGAACGAAGTTTTACAAACCAATGGTGGTCTCCTAAATGGAAATATCTTTGAGATGTTTCAGGATAGGGGGCTTTGCATTCTAGAACCAACAGTATCCTAAAGGGACTATAAATCATGGACTGAGTTTATTGATCTTGAGAATTTAGTGCTCTGGTTTTAAGATCAGCAACACGTTGATGTACACACACATTCTTCCAATCCTGGGTACAAAGAACTGGGAACAAGGTTCAGATGTATACATTAGCCATTTACTATGACCTACTATGAACTACTGCTACCAACCTAGCTTCCACACAGACTTTGACATTATTGAGCCACATTTCTCTTATGTAATTTGACTAATTTAAATGGAGTTAACTAGAATGTATCCCAGTGTTTATCTGTTTTTTGCACCTATAGGGAGGGCTCAATCTCATAAACATGAATGCATGTGGGTAACTTTACTTACATTAATTCAGTGGGATTACTTACAATTTTAGTTTATCACATGTTCAAGGCTTGCTGGGTAAGGTCATTTTTACCAATTTAGGACACACAAAAAATCCAAGCATTAACTCCACATACCCTGAAAGTGAAAACAGCCTGGCTATATCTACACTGGCAGCTTCTTGCACAAGAACAACTGTTCTTGTGCAAAAACTTGCCTGCTATCTACACTGCATGAGTGTTCTTGCGCAAGTAAATTTACAGTATAGCGTTGTAAAACAGGGCTTCTTCCAGAAGAGTTATTCCTCTCCTCACGAGGAATAAACCCTCTTGCGCAAGAGCTCTTCCACAAGAGGGCAGTGTAGACAGGCAACATGAATTTCTTGCGCAAAAAGCCCCAATGGCTAAAATGGCCATCAAAGCTTTCTTGTGCAAGAGAGCGTCCACACTGTCATGGATGCTCTTGCGCAAAAGCACATGGCAGTGTGGATGTGCTCTTGTGGAAGATTTTTTGCACAAGAACTCTTCCACAAAAGAATTCTTGTGCAAGAAGCCGCCAGTGTAGATGTAGCCCCTTTGTTTTGCTCTTGAACGTTGACAATCATCTTTAATTTTCTTTCAGGTTTTGGGCATGACCAGTGGAAGTCAGGCTGGTTTCGGGGCTCCTACATCCAGGCAGTATGCAAGACAGAAGGTAACTCGAGTAACCCTCAGGGACTTCATCTTTTACATGGAACAGGAAAGAGAAACTAGCCATTCTCTCCTGCTCTACAGAGCTTTGCTTAAATAAAGCCAAGAATTGTATTGGTTTCCTCACAGAGCTCAGCCTGCATTGAAAATTTGTAATTTGAACGTGCCTTCTATTTTTTTCAGATATCACTGTTCCAGTAGTTTGTTTTTGCAAAATTGTCAGACACATGCAATAAATCCCCCTTACATAAATTAAAGAAAGAAATGAAAATGTGCAAAAGGTTTTTAAGGAGATAAAATCTATGGTTGTGATCCATGCTAAAAAATTTTATGGCATTTGGCCATTTTCAGATGAGGGTACACAGATTGGATGAGAAGGCGTTTATACCAGTTAAGGGCCTGATTGCAAATGCTTACATGAGGCATCCCATTGATGACACTGGGCATCTTGCAAGAAGGGTTTGCAGGATTGGGTTCAAGGGATGCTGTTTGTTTTTATTAGCTATATATTCAATTACAATGCTAGCCTTTCCATAACCTCCTAACTTTTCATTGACTAACCAGAGTGATGCCTGCTATCATTTTAGATTACTTATAATTGCCAATTTTTGCCCAGCTGAAAGAGGAGCTGTCCCACACTTGCACAAATTTTATATAGTAATGATTTTTTGCTTTTAGTATTTATTTGCTGATCTAATTCCTGAGTGTATGAAATCTGTGCGTTCAGGTCCCAGCTGAGTTATTTTGATTAGCTTTCAGTTATTTTCTAAATCTGCTCAACCTTTTGCACGTTTGTAGCAGATGCAGTAAAATGAATCTGAGTTGGCTTTTTATTTAAAAAAATTATTTATTGTGAAGAGTATGGTCTAATCGTGGTTTTAAAAGTGAGAGAAAGTATTGTTTAATAAAGATTTTAGAGTATTCTACGCAGATTTTTAAAGTCATTGCCAAAAATAGTTGTCTTATAGAGGGGCCAGTCATACTCTCATTGGAGTCAGTGGAGTGGTATCAAGTCCTCAGGGCCCAAGCCTGCAAGGTTATCAGGGTCATCACAAGTCACTGGGAATTGACCTCACCTTGCATGATCAGACCTTGAGCCCCCGATCCAGAATATCACTTAAACGTGTGTAACCTTCCGCATGCGAATAGGTGTAAGTATTTAAAGTTACACATGTGTTTAAATGCTTTGCTGGACTGGACCATAAGTTACCAAAGCCAATGAGAGTCTTCTTAATAGGTCTTGGATAAGGTACTTAGTAAGCAGGCGAATACCAGTATTAGTTCAGACATAACAGTATTATCAATAACAATGGAAGGGAGACATTTGCTTATTTATATTTTCAATTTTTCCTATGTCGATATTTGCCACTTTTTGAGGCAGTATTTTTTTTGGATGAGAAACAATAGTGAAAGCACAAATAGAACTATCTGTCCAATAGATTTAAAAACAGAAGTTTTAATTATATTTTAAGGTTTGTTAAAAAGCAGATCAAAATTTATACTGCTGCTATTTAGCCAAAAGAGTATTTGTAATGTATTTAAGGCCAGGAAGTGTAAAATTATGTTTTAAATGTATTGATAATTTGTACATATTGTTTATAAACCCTGTGTTTATTAGAATTGTTATTTTGATGATTTCTGTACATATTCGTAAATGCCCCAATTTCTGTGAAAGCATACTTCCTTATTTGTACTTATTTTGTAAAGAAATAAAACAGTTTACTAAAGTAACATTTGAGTGACATACAGTATTAATTTATCAAACATTAATTTCAGTTTCACATTGTCTTGTAGTTTATAAGCACTGGTCAAAAACATTTTGCATTAAAATATTAACAATACCCACAAAGAAATACTAAAACTGAGTATTTAATGTTCTGCTGTGCTGATTCTAATTCTTTGTCAAACATCTAATAAAACTGTCAACAAACCTTGATGCTATTAAATACAGCCAGTGAATGTACTCAACATTTGCTTTGTTAAAAATTTGACCAATAAGCACAACATAACATTTTCCTTTCACTTTTTTGTCAGACTTGAGAGCACAGTGGTACAGAACAGTACATGTGAAAGTGCTAGAGAAGACTAAAGTTCTAAAAACCACAATTTCAGTGCTCAGGAAAAGAGATTCCAACCAATTTCATACAGTGAAATTAGATTAAAAAACAAGGCATGTTTACTTTCGATCTTCAAACTAAAAGCATTCGCTGTCTGCACACCACAGTTTTACTAGAGATGTGATGATGGTTTTTTAAATGTTTTACATGGCACTGGGCAATGTTCTTAATCAAGCTGTGCTACTGTGGTTTAGGACAGTAACAGGAATTCACATCAGTTTTTGCTGATATTGCTACTTTAGAATACGGGGATAGAAAAAAGTAAAAGAGATACAAATGAAATTGTAATAAACTTTAAATCAGCGACCTGAAGTCGCTAACTAAAAACATGTCCTAGCTTAACTTTTGCTTTAAAAAAAAGGCATATTTCTCCAACAAAGTGATTGTTTCCATATGTCTTGCTTGCTTCAGTGCTGTTGTGCAGTTAATGTTGTGATGTCATGGCTCAAACTTTCCATCTCAAGTTCTCATTTAACTCAGTTGGAGCAGCCTGGAATCTTTTACGATGCCACCTTACCAAACTGCTGTGAGTACTGGAGCTGCTTTATTGAGCTATAAAAATATGGTGAACTCCAAATTGAAGAAAGCAGACGAATGAAGCCACAAATAGTTCCTAGCTCTTTACATACCACTAAAGCATTCTGCCTATGGGTTTGATCCTGAGTGGAGAAGAGGGCCCTTCACTTTCCCTTTTTACTTTAAATGGAGCTGGAAGACCACAGCCCCTTTCAAGAGGTGCTTTAATATGTTCCTACTGATATAACCCTACATTCAGGCAAAACTCCTGTGGATGTCAGCAGTTTTGCTTGAGCAAGGACTGCAGGGTTGGCCCATATGTCTGAAGCCTGATTGTGCTGTAACTAGAGAAGAACTTTCCTAGATGAATGTTAATGAATGAAACAGTATGCACAGACACAGCCTCCATTTCTTTCTGAATCACCCGGCTCAGGAACTGAATACAGAACTGGAAAATATATAGTAAAGCTAAGGAGCAAAACTGATGCTTAAAGGAGACTTTGAACTGAAGTCAAACTAAATCTATAAAACCAATAAACACTGTTTTTGAAGAGATGGCTACAATAAATTGAACTGAGTCAAAGGCCAGAGGAAATGGAGAGAAAGTTAGTGTTCATTCTACTTGCTGCAGTTTTGATCTTTACTGAAATGTTTATGGTATGAAGTATTGTATAAGAAATATGTATACACAAATACATGACAATTATACGTTAATTTTTTTTACAATATTAAATGTATAATATACAATTCTACAGATATCTTACATAGAAAGGTAATGTAGTGCCATCTTTTCAAATATTGGCAGTACCTAGCAATTTTATTTAGTGTGTCAAACAAGTATAAAACCATGAAATAAAGTAACTTTAATAATCTTTAAAGTAGACAGATTTGGCCAAATGTCTGTCAACAGTTCTGCTAAGGCAGTAGTAGGCCACTAAGCTAAGATTTGTATGAGTGATTTATGATTCTGGGTGACTAATCTGAGACAATTTGAAGAGTTTCAGAGGGCAGGCATGTACTCCATTTTCCAAAAATCTTTGACTCCACGTACAGTCTCCAACATAGGCACCCAAAAATCACTAGACACTTGAAAAATTCAGTATTAAACTTCAGGTCCTAATTTCTGCCCATGTAATCAGATGGCAATAGAGAAACAGAAATGTCAAATACTGCTGATTTTAATACTCTGTCCCTTTCTCTATACAGATGTACTTATGCATCTAAAAACAGTTTAATTAAAATTCAGCATCTACAAAAGTATTCTATAAGTTATTGTGGGAGAAACTAAATTGCGACTAATACATGAATTAGTTATTGAGGACCCAATCATGCTAAACAGCAGTAAACTGGATTTGGCAGAATGCTATTTATATACTTGCACCTGCAAACACAGAACTGTCTCCTGAGTTAAGGAAGCTGAATAAGTCAGAAGATTGATACTGTCTTTGTTAAAGGAACAGTAACCTCCTATAAACAAATGGCTTCTTTATGGTTAAAAATACACAGATACAGGGCAGCTATAAAATCAGTACTTTAATAGTTCAAATTAATAGAAGAAAAAATATCTAAATAAAACCTGACTTGCTCCTGTCAGAAAGAAGGATGGGTCTTTATCAACCTTTGTAAAAATTCCAGGGCCATGAAGAGTAAGGGGTGTCCAAAATGTTTAACATCTGCTCCTGAATGTTTGTTTTAAATATGTTTAGTAAAAAGGATGACTAAGGGTAATAGAACATGCTTGGCAGAACCACCCCTCCACTAATGATGCAAAACACAGAAACTGAGAGAAGAAAACAAAACTGCCATCTCAAAGGAACTATGACTCCACGTTTGGGGCCTGTGCTATACCATTAGATTTCAGATGGCCATATTAAAAAATTCATTTTGTGCTTCCAGATCCCTATTTTTGCACATATTAGCCACAACTAGTCCGCAATTAAAATACTGAGCACCAGATGATTAAGTTGGTCCTTTTCTCATTTTGTATTCTGTACACAGAGTTATTTCAATTGTCAATGTTGTATAAAAATAAGCCATTTGCTAGCACAAATGAGTTACAATCACAGAAACAGAAACATAACATAAATCTATGGAGGTGTAAAGTACATCTGATATGAGAGAAATGTGGCATTCAGACAGGAAAGATAACTCAGTGCAGTTTTTAAGGTACCATCTTCCTTTTGGTGGACCTTACTTCGTTGCCT